GACTGTGCTGGGAAGGAGAAACCTTCTCAGCGGCGAAAACTTACAATAACCTAATAAATTTCTGCCCACACTTCTTCAAAAGTCACGAAGTTTATTCGAAATTCAATTCCAGATTTTTTTTTGGTGGTAGAGAAACCCCACTTCTGGTTATTATGATAGTGGATATCTCGAGCAGTAGTAGTGCATCTAAGCGGCCGTATTACACTTTACAGTGCGAATTGGTACAGTCCTTACTTTTGAAGAGGTGTTACATAATCAGAATACTTCATTCGGGCTTCGAGCACGTGATTAGTTCAATGTTCATCAATGTCTTGTATCATTGCGCGCAACGTTTCACAAGGATCCGGTCAGGCGTCAAAGTACAGTGCTTTTTGCAGAGCAAGTCACGGTAAATGTTAATGATGCACGTTCCAACCGGTACACGAATCTTTGTTTCACAGTCAAAACAGAGCAAAGGTAATGAATGATGAATGGTTCGCGAAGAAGGCGCATTACAGTGGTTGGTTGTCATATGTAACTTCGTTAGCTTCAACGTTCAAACTTTTGGAGCTATGCAATTCCAATACCTTTTGGTGCTACTGGACATGTGACAGTAAACAACACTTTAGATTTAAATAGAGCAGAAAAGTAACTGTGAGATCGGACCTGCCCATTTGGCTCCTGCCATCGAATGTAGATCTACCGGCGTACCGATCAAGTAGGGATAAACAACATTATAAACAGCAACGACGATCTTGTAAGCAACAACAGCTAAAACACAGTATCCTGCACTGACCACAAGGCAGTCGCACACCATATTACCTAAATGATGCGCAATGCATAAGATTTTCCATTGTTGAACAAGCGATCCGCTTATATTAACCGGACACGTAAGGAAAGCTGACGTTGCTTAAGGTTGAATAGCTACAGTACTTAATGACAAAACCTCAAAAAACGTGGGAAGGGCTATTTCTAAACAGTTTATTTGTCAATATCAATATCAGTTTGACACATGCATCAATTAAAAAAGCAAAGGTGAAGTTGTCGCACTGTCCGCAACCGACAAGGATAGAATGCGCCGCAATCGCTAGCGATCGCTTATCTGTGATGTAACGAGAAGACAAATGGCGTTGGAAGTGGTATGATACCACGCCACGCCTCAGCCGTTCCCAAACCAAACGCGGACTTTACACAAAATTGATTGCCGACACAACAGAGTCTTATTCATGGAAACTATGGAACGTAGCTAGCAGTCGGGCACGCCATAAAACAAGCAGGTGGGACGAAGAAAAAGGGACATATGAATAGAGGAGGAAATGTTTATAGATGGAATAATGGTCTGTGCTTCGACTACAGTTGAGAAGCAGTGAGAAAATCTAGTAAAACATCATGAAACATGTGCGCAATGACATTAGTCCAAATCCATCTCATCTTCTTCAGTTTTTCCACGCTTGGGTTCTGGCTCCTTGACGGGTTCCTCAGCATCTTCATCTTGCATCTCAACAGCCGTTTCTACACTGGCGCTAGCAGCAGGTTCATTGGCTGGTTGAGAAGCCTCAAGACCACGTTCAGCTTCTGTCAGTTTTCTAGCAAACTCCAGCAAATCTGAAAATTATCAGTAATTAGGTCGAAATCGAACTCATATGTGGTAACTGCGAAGTTCGAGTAGCGAGAAGTAACATCGCTATGCGGCATTCCAGAAAAAAGATCCTGCGTCGTATTTCACCGTAGTTTACCTAGGCCACCCATTCTTCAGTATGATGTTTGCATATGACTCGTCTAATAACGAGGTGAGTTCTAAATAACTGTCCCCCGCACTCATGCTATTGGTAGAATGCGCAATCAAAAACGACTGCTACAGAAAAAGGGGAAGGATGCGACCAATGAGAATGGCGCAATCTCTCCCTATACAAACCGCACGCAGTGTCTATAAAGGTAGGTGGCAGTTTGAGTATTTTCGTTATTGGCCCAACCCATTACCACCGCAAACATGACTTCCAAAAGCAAGTGACCCACAAAGGGGTAACAAAGGAATGTCTATTGACTCAAATTAAAAATTTTCTATCTGCATACAAAAAAACTCTCCTAAGCAGCCCTACGGTTGCTGAAACGCCAATGACCCTAACTTACCTAACTACCTAACCTACTTTGCCATCGAACATGCAATTAAAAGCCACTAAATTACGTTGGAGCGAACTTACTTCCGGTAGCAGCTGCTTGGGCAGCCCCTTCGCTGATACCGAATCTTTCTAAGACAGGAGCCATTTGTCCAGTAGAGAGGGCATGGCCAAAGGTGTTAGCAGCCTATAAAAGTCATCCAAATATCCTCCGCTGTCACAGCTAAAAATATGATACTGAACAGATAGAATCGCTGTGTACTAATGAAACTGAACAACTATGATATTCGAATGGATTAAAGTAATATGTACATATTTATCCTTGTAAGTGGTGAGACTGGAATTCTTTTCTGAACACTATGTTTCTTAACCCATAACGGACGACAGGATTTATTGCGCGTGAGCCACCATGTGGCGCACTCTGCACCAGAAAATTTCCTGATGCACCTTTTCCAAAACCCAGCGGAGTGCGGGTCAAGAAAGCAGGCGACCTCACTTCCGAGTTGGAGTTGATCGTCTAATTATTTCGTTATCAAGATTATGGATTAAAAGGTCCAGGATAGGTTGCATGCCTTCTAGCTCGATTAGGAGATTACGATAGGAGAGGTAAGAAATCTTGCCACAGCTCCAGAATTTCTTACCGGGCTTATTTCGGATCATGATGATTAGCAATGTCATAAAAGAGATGAATATGTGTCGCGGGTACGAGGTTCTTGAACGAAGCTTGCTTCGCGCCAGCTTCTGGGTATTCCTAGCAGCCAGGGACTTCTATCCACACAATGGTGCCCATACGAAAAGATCGTAGTAGGGGAGCGTGCTGGCTGAAGAGCCTACTTGGTGGTAATAGAGTGTAGGAACGCTGCGTGTTTATTTAAATATGATGAGTTGAGAGTCGGGGAATAGGGCTTCTGTGGTAATGGGTGTGTAGAACACGTTGTTGTAGGCTCCTCGGTGGTGGAAGTATCGGACAATGCCTGTTAAAGCTATTGCAGATAGTGTTGGTCTTCGACACAAATCCATTGTTATGTAGACACTTGTACTAGACAGCGACTCGGAGTGTGGATTTACTAGTGGTCGAGGTTTTTCAAATTTTCTTGGATAACTACTGGTTTGTTGAGCTGGCTTTAGCAGCTTTAGTATCCAGCTCTTTAGATAAGCTCGATTGAATGCGTCGTTACTGATTTTGGTAGTCATAAATCGTTACCTTTATATGAAGTTTTGTTCCAGAAGAAAAGGGAAAAATTGAGAAAGAGTGGTCGCATGTAATCGTTTGTGTTTTGCCAGAGGCCTAATCATTATTCCCATTTCTGCTGAGTGGGGTGAGTGATACGAGAGTAGTCCAGATTGTTCAACAATACACACACGAAAAGAAGCAGTGGAAAAAACAAAAGAAGCGCCATCATGTGGCGCACATCGTCCGTCATGGGTTAAATGTAAAAATGAGGAGAAAGGCTCTTCACCATTGGGACTTATAGGTTTCTCTGTTTGAGTTGATGAATTTGGAACATATTCATAAAAAAGTATACATCAGTTTTAAAGACTTTCGGTGCATTGGCAGTCGACAAAAAAGCGTGGTTTCATACCCAGCCCTAACGTTTTAGAGAGAAGGAAAAGAGCGCGGAATAAAGAGACGGATATATTTAGATTACCTGTCTATAAGTGCGGAGAACGAAAACGGTATCCTGCATAATGCCTTTTTAGCGCAACATCGGAGCTGTTTGTCTTACCACGGCATGGTGATTTGAGGCAGCGATCGTTAGAAGCGGGATATACCTCGCATGCTTAGGTCGTGCAATTTTTGCCAAGAAAAAAAAAATCTTACTAGACCCGCATTATGTTTTTTCAGCTGTTTTCGACAACTGCCCCTCAAGCAAATGACATCGCCCAAAGCTCACATCGCCCACTTTGAGATCTTGAGATGAACGGCCTCAAGCAGGTTCCGGAGCTCTGTAGCCACCACAGTAGGAGTTGAAGTTGAGTAAGTTCCGATAGACAGAAGACCTGGAATCGGCCAGGTTACAAATGGAGCATATTCAGCACAGCCCCAATTGGTAATAAAGGCTTTACCTTTGGGAGCATTTCCAGAGGCTCCGCGTTCCGAATTACCTCCTGAAGGTGTTTGCGGGACCAGCGATGGCGAATCGGAGCTTCCCTGACAATGTAGTTCCATAATCCAAATCAAGGAAAAGTAAAATTGAGTTAGGAAAGTACTTACCTGATTCATAAACTGTAGGAGCTGCATCAGTTGCTGCTGATCGAGTCCTCCGAGTGCCCCTAGTTCCTGAAACATCATTATTAACCCACCGTAGATCACTAAAAGGATTACAATACACTACGACTACAACACAAATCATGTGCACTTCCGTTCTTGTGTGTTAAGCATGGATATGAGGTTTGTATGAGCTTATTCATATCTGTTGCACCACAATCCTGATATTCCTGTTTTTTTGTGCTGCTTTACCCCACTTAAAAAAATGCTCAATCTGTCACCAGAAATCTTAGTCAAAACACCAACTAGCTCCAGATAGAAAGCTGTTCTCAATGCACATGCAATTTTGCTAATACGATACTTTTGTCAACAAAGTGAAGGAGAAGAATTGTATCGCTGAACGAATCTAATAGCGTTGAACATCAAAACCAAAACGTCAGTAAGCATCCTACCAGTTCTGTTGGCGGACTAAAGTTTATGTCATACGGGCATTTTCCGAACACATCCTTTTGCAAGTATTTTCGAAAACTCGTGATTTTGCTCCAAAATTTTGCATTGTACATTATTATGACAGAAATCTGACTCGCAATACTTTTCTTATCTTAAGCTATATCTTTTATTAATTTCGCCATAAAATTTCCGCCGTTTATTTTAGCCTAACGGCTTTTTGGAGTTTTTTGTACATTTTTTTGGTTTGAATGTCATTCGAAAATCCGTAGCATCCATAACATTTTGAAATATAATATTCTTTGAGAATTTTGCAAAATGATGTTAATACTGCAGGTTGGTTCCGGTATGAGCTTAGAGTTGCGCGAACCAGTTTGTCCGTCAATTCCTTCCAACCAGCAACTCCTTGCTTGTGACTCAGACTGCTGTTAACAGATTTTCCTCTGCGAAGACAACTTTTCAAAGCACTCTACCTCTAATCCTACCTTCGCCACATATATCAGCTATTTGAAGAGGCACTTAGAGGCACTCAATACTGAAGCTTATACATATGCAGCACCTATATCAATCTTTGCTTGTAGTACCAAAACACTCAAAAAACTGCAGGCTTCCAAATGACATCGTCATCAGAATAATCAACAAAAGTCGGAAGCCACTAGCCAAAATAACGGTAGAAGGTTACGGTCAAGCTGAGTACAATAGTGGTATCAGTGGTGGTAAGTTTAGAGCGAATTTGTTAACAGCGAAAGGCCAACAGGAGAGAAATTCAGCGTGAATACAGTTCATACCTCACTGCCACTGAGGCCCGCTAAATTAGCTGTTGACAACCCTCCAGTAGTTCGTTCCGAAGAGCCTCCTCGAGCGGTAGCACGAGTAGTTGGTGGCTTATTAAGAGCATCATTCACCTGAAATGATAGATTGGAGTAAAAAATCACAACCTTGGAGAGCATCATTGTAAACCACACTGAAGAATTTCTGAAACATGTCGTGAGAAAGGTGATATTGCGCATCAAAAAAAAAAACGGACGCTTGAACTTGCACTGTTTATACAAACGCTCCTACCAGAAAAGGACTTCCAATGAATAACTACATTCAATAATGAAAAAATTGCAGGATACCAAAAGAGTAGCAAAAATCTGCGACTGACTACCGATAAAATTTTCTACGGATATAAGTGCGTTACAATAACTTCGTATAGCATACATACCCACAGATGCGTAAAACAACTACAACAACACAACTTTCGTCTCAGTATAAATAAAGGAAATTCACGAAATGTTTCAGATAATGCATTGAGAAACGTAACCTCCAACCTTGATCGCACTTACCTCTTAACAGGTCCTTGTCCTGCATCTGCATTAGCCATCTTGTGAATCCGTTTCGAACTTTGGCGCATTTTTCTACCGCTCTGGCCAAATAATTAGACGACGCTCGTCCCGCCCGCGTCTTCTCCCTTTCCCGTGCCCGCCGCCCCGGTTACTGTTCTCGTCGCTTCCTTTGCTCGTCACCGGCTTTTTCTTTCTCGCGCTTTCTCCACCTGCTTTCTCGCTGCGTCCTTCTTCTTCCTCCCTTTCCTCTTTTTCTTTCGGGCCCTCTCCTTCTCTGCCTCCTTTCGTGCCTCGGCCGCGCCGCTGCAACTTATCCCGAATCCTCTAAACGCTCCTAACGAACGCTTCCTCGTCCTCTCAACCCACATGCGCCCGCCCCCTCCCCCGCCCCCACAGCCTCCACGTGCCTCGCACGCCTTCACCACTCATTCTTCCGCTCCCATTCACCCGTCAGAAGTTTTGAATTTCAACATGTAAACTTTGCCGTCAGGACATCCCTTCACTTCCTTGAATTCTGTATCTCCCGGAAATATTATGAGATCCTGAAAATCATGATTAGACTTTACTCTACGTTAATAAAATAAAATTGCACAGCGTGGAAAAGACACAAGACTCACATCAACCACGGCTCCTGTTTCTCTGTTCTTCCAGCAGAAATGCATGAGCTGATCATTTGACTGTTTGATGAAAACTTGCCCTTTCGTTTTGTCGGCAACGACCTTAATGACGTAGAAAATAGGGTATTCAAACGCTAACGAGCTTTGACAGGTTTGAGATAACAATTTAAGGCGAAAAATCCTCTGGTACTCGGACGCATCTAACACACTACTTGAAGAGTGTAAACTCTGCAGATGAATCTTACAAGGGAAGGATACCAGGTCGAAGTGGCCATTTGTAACGAGACATACACCACTAGATGTGTTTTTGGACGCTTATCTCAAATCTGCTCTCCAAATCTGCGAAACGACTCTTTGAACGTAGTTATGAAGCGAGATAGTGCAGTGGCAGCGGTGCGGCTCAACGAACGAGAGGTCGTGAGTTCGAGTTCTTGGCGAGTTCTCACTTTTGCTTTTCTTATATACGTTGTTCAAGGAACTCTTACTGTTTGAAGTTACTCTTGTCTATGCTAAGTTATCAGCGATTGCCTATAGCACAAGTAAACAGAGCTGGCGAAGAGCTTCGAGCACTGTGCGCGTCATTTGCAAGTGACCGCCTCTGACACCCGTAGCGCACGCGTAAGGCAATTTCGTGCCAAGCAGATGCGATATTCGTGTTCAGCGCGTCGAAACACCCTTTCAACAACATTTGGTCCAAATCTAAAATTTTGACTTGAAGTCGAAAATGTGGGCAGTCATCTATCCATCAACCCACTGTCAGAGCCTGATCGTGGGATTGAATTAAACTTTCAGTCATTATTGTGAAAGAGATATAGTTGCCTGCTCTACTTGCTCGTGCCATCCGAAGATTAATATGATATTTTTTCATGTACACGCTCGCTGCCCAGGAGGAGCAGGAGGGTAGTGGCTGGGGCTAGGGATAACACCTACGACTCATTGTAGACCGAGCTTCGAAATTGGGTCCAAATGTCAGCTTTCTAGAATTAAGCCTTCAAAGCTAGTTTGGTCCGTTGAGCAAGCATCTCCCATCTGTTTAGCCCATCGTCGGATATACGTCACTTTCGTGGCGTAGAAACTCCCCCACAGTGGTAGAAACATTACGAAAAAAGTGGAATGCGTTAAACAGACCCCTCTAAACATGCGTTAGCTTTGGACGCAGTGAAAATTTCAACACTGAATAATTTTTATATTTAAATTAGACCTAATTACAAAAAGCAAAAAATTCATGCCCAACAGGTTCCCATCCATGGTCTTACCACTGGAAGCGGCCAATACTACCACTCGGCCAAGCCGCCGCTGAAGCCTTGCTCTGCCGGAGTCACTTACAGTGGGCTTCCATTCGAAACAACCTCCGTAACACTTTTCAGAGAATCGTTTCGCAAATTTGGAGAGTGGATTCGAGATCAGCGTCCGAAAACACATCTCTGAGTATAGGTTTCATTACGGATGGCCACTTCGACTTGGTATCCTTCCCTTGTTAGTCAGTCTCAAACTTTTCAAATTGTTTTGGAACCAAACATAGACCTTCGCGGATAGCCCAGGACCTAGAAGAAATTTCGGTGTGAGCTCGAAAAACTTCAAATTTCCATTAAGGAACCTACAAATGTAGCTGGAATCAGGACCGGCTAGGCAAAAGCGAAAAAAAAACTTGATTGATCCAAAACAATAAGTCTACTAAGAGATAACTTCCAGCACACTCTTGGCGGTAACACCACCGCTGTGAAAAATATGTACACCCATGATCACCATCAATCCTACCCAACTTACTAACCTGACGTCTAAGCAAAACGGAATCTTTGTTCATTCTCTGGAGTCCAGCCCAGTGGGCGTGGCTTGCGCCAAAGTGAGAGTACCAAGGCCGAAAATTTCAATTTAGATTCAAAAACAACCTAGAGACCCGGAAAGAATGGGTAAGAGCGAGTATTGGTAAGCCAGGTCGATTAATGAAGACCCAACTGCGGCGGATAGGGCGTTCTCTGGATAGGCGGCGCTCAGTACTAGAATTCATAACTCGGTTGGGAAATAGCTTGCAGGGCACAAAAAACTGACGCGGGATAACAACGTCTGAGAAGTCCCCAACATATCAGAAGCAAGTCTGCTCGCAGTGGGCGGAGCGTGTCCTTAAGGGCGACGTTTCTTAATCATTCTCAAACTTCGGTTTCGAAAAGTATCAGAGACCGGAAAAAAGTGGATACAGGTAGACGAGGAAGAAATAATCAAATGCTACTGGTGCACCAAAACGGGCGGTGTTTACCGCGAACCCTACAAAGCAGTCCAGAAACCGGGAAAAGCGGGTAATGGCCCACGAAGACGGGCAGGTCAAAAGCCATAGGTAGGTGGTGACGCACGGGTGTGGTTCGCTAGGACAGAATATGACTTTTCCTCTTTTCACAGCCGAAACTTTTTTCGCTGCAGGAATTCAGGTCCACCACTGATCGAAGTGGACCTGGAGTTCTTGCAGCGAAAAAGTTTCGCGCTGCGAAAAGCGGAAAAGTCGCTTTCTGTCCTAGCGAACCACACCCGTGATGCACCGAAGTGGGCGATCTTAAGATCCAAAGCTGCTGCATGGTCCAGAGATGGCACGGAGACCAAGAAGAAAGCGGACAGAATCAAGGAAGACCAAGTGGAATACTCGCGGTGGACCGGGCAAAATTGGAGTCTACTGCGGTGTCAACTGGTATGGTCATCCTACTTAACTATAAAGCGCTTCGTCTGTCGTCTGTATGTCTGTCACGAAATTCCCTAGCTCCTCGGGATCCGCCTGGAGGGACCGGGTCAAGTGTGGAATGGGTGGGCAAGGTCTCACGAAATACAAAACACACATCAGCTAAGCGGAGCCCCGCCCACAGAGGGCGTGGCGTGCGTCGAAATGAACTGTACCGAAGACCAAGATTTCGATTTCAGTGACAAAACGACCTCGAAACTATGCCAAAAAGTGAGCTAAGGTGTGCATTGGTAAGTAACATCGAATTAGGGAGACCCACCCCCGGTGGGCGGGGCGTTCTCTAAAAAAGCAGTGCTTTATGAAAAATTTCATAACTCGGTTGGGAGAAAGCCTACAGAGCAGAAAACAATTTGGTGTAAGGGAGCAATGTCTAAGGTGTTTCCTGCATACATGACGTGGGCGGAGGCCCGCCCAGAATGGGCGGGGCGCGCTCTGAAGTGTACAGCATTTTCTACAAGCCCTCATAATTCGGTCGGGGAAGTCTTTAAAGAGCCGGGAAAAGGTGGATAGAGGTGTATGGAGGAGTGGAGGCCAGCTGTCATCGGTGGGCGGGGCTTGACCAAAGTGGAGCGGAGTTTTTGCGCCGAAATTGTAACTCGGCTCCAAGAAGTCCCGGAGGCGGGAAAAAGGTGGATGGAGGTGGGTGGAGGAGTGGAGCCCAGCTGTCATCGGTGGGCGGGGCTTGACCAAAGTGGGCGGAGTTTGCGACGAAAATTCATAACTCGGCTCCAAGAAGCCCCGGAGGGGAAAAAGGTGGATGGAGGTGGGCGGGAGGGAAGAGTTGGAAGCAGCTGTCATGTGGGCGGGGCTTGACCAAAGTGGGCGGAGTTTGCGACGAAAAAATTCGTAAACTCGGCTCCAAGAAGTCCCGGGAGCCGGGAAAAAGGTGGATGGAGGTGGGTGGAGGAGTGGAGGCCAGCTGTCATCGGTGGGCGGGGCTTGACCAAAGTGGGCGGAGTTTGCGACGAAAATTCATAACTCGGCTCCAAGAAGTCCGGAGGCGGGAAAAAGGGGATGGAGGTGGGTGGAGGAGTGGAGGCCAGCTGTCATGGTGGGCTCGTACTACAAAGTGGGCGGAGTTTGCGACGAAAATTCATGACTTGGCTCCAAGAAGTCCCTGAGGCCGCGGAAAAGGTGGATGGAGGTGGGTGGAGGAGTGGAGGCCAGCTGTCAATGGTGGGCGGGGCTTGACCAAAGTGGGCGGAGTTTGCGACGAAAATTCATAACTCGGCTCCAAGAAGTCCCGGAGGCCGGGAAAAAGGTGGATAGAGGTGGGTGGAGGAGTGGAGGCCAGCTGTCATCGGTGGGCGGGGCTTGACCAAAGTGGGCGGAGTTTGCGACGAAAATTCATAACTCGGCTCCAAGAAGTCCGGAGGCTGGGAAAAAGGTGGATAGAGGTGGTGGAGGAGTGGAGCCCAGCTGTCATATGGTGCAGGCGGGGTATGACTGACCAAAGGTGGCGGAGTTTGCGACGAAAATTCATAACTCGGCTCCAAGAAGTCCCGGAGGCCGGGAAAAAGGTGGATGGAGGTGGGTGGAGGAGTGGAGGCCCAGCTGTCAATGGTGGGCGGGGCTTGACCAAAGTGGGCGGAGTTTGCGACGAAAATTCATAACTCGGCTCCAAGAAGTCCCGGAGGCCGGGAAAAAGGGGAGGGTGGAGGAGTGGAGGCCAGCTGTCATCGGTGGGCGGGGCTTGACCAAAGTGGGCGGAGTTTGCGACGAAAATTCATAACTCGGCTCCAAGAAGTCCCGGAGGCCGGGAAAAAGGGGTAGAGGTCGGCGAAAGGAAGGAGGCCAAATGCTATTGGTGGGCGGGGCACGCACCGAAGTAGGCGGAGTTTGCCACGAGATTTATTGTCCGGAAGCAGTCCGGAGACCGGGAAAAAGAGGATAATGGTTGACGAAGAAAAAGAGGTTGAAAGCCGTCGATGATGGAGCGGATAGAATTTAGCTGAGAATTCAGATATTCGTGGTGTATCAAGCCAAATTTGAAAATTTTCGTCGCACCATCAAAATTCGCCGCAGATCTGTGTTGTGCGCGCAATGCGTGCGGCGCCAACTGGTACTGAAATAAGAAATCTTTGTGCCATAAGGCAAATTCGTACCTTGTCGCCCATTAGAATGACACATGGAAAAATGTACTTGCTAATAAAAGGAAGAGAAGGATTGCTGATCATTTTCAAGCCTACATTATAATTGGAGAATATTCTCAGAAACCAGCAATAGGGAGAAAAAGCTTATTTAGTTATTTTTGAGTAAGAATACACAAAAGGTAGTTTGTGGACGAAAACCAACCTTCTTTTTGTTTGGAGCAGTTGCAGGTTGGAGGAATGAACGCCCTGCCTGCAACAAGGAGCAATGAGGATATTGTCAATCAAAGTGTCACCTTAAGTTGTGTCAGAAATATGTGAGTTTTTCCCTGGCTTTTTTACAGAAGATGATCGAGCAGAAACCCACTTTGAATTCTACAAGATTTCCACTCGAAGAACCTCCTTGAGAGGAGCGAGATGTTGAGAACATGGCACTCATCTTACGGCAAAACTGTGACTGCAAGTATTAGAATATCTGAAACAGGGTATTCTGTTACTTGCTGTTTCACAATAGAGCCTTGATGCTGCCATTTCAAAAAAAGGAATATCGAACTAGATGACTAACGCTGAATTAGTTAAATGGAAGTGCTTTACTGAACCCATGACTATATCATAACTCCCATACATCATGTGTTCGAAGACACGATCCTAACCAATCTATGACTTCCTCCACCATAAAGTCCACAGACGAATAGGAACTGGCTGAGAGGTGACTTGGTGCACCTTGACGGCGATTACTTTCTTTTTCAAGGTATTAGGTATGTATTTAGCCCATCTTCAAATTACTTCAGCAGGGAGCTAAACGTTCTGTAACATTATTTCCTCTAAACGCCCTCAAGAGCAGTGGTCGCAGTGCACCGTCGAACGCTTTCTCCATGAGGAAGGCTAGATAGCACAAGTGGCGGTTCTCTCGACATTTTTTTCATCATCTTTCAAGTGTGGCATCGTGGTACCCCTTCCTGGCATGAGCCCGAGATGTTCCTCCGAAATCGGGGAGAACCAGCGTTTGAGCTTCGAGCTGAATGATGGCTCATGGTTTTAGTAGTACAAGCAGTGAACTTGGATCCCTAGAGTAATCCGGCTGTACATTTGAGATTTGGACAATTGTAATCGGTCTCCAAACATCCAGTATCCTTACTTCTGCAGCTACAATATCAGAATGCGTACAAACAATTTTATCCCGTGCGCTACGAGCGTCTTGCGTTTCGGTCGAGTCGACCAGCCGTAGCTTCCATTTGTGGGTAGGCCTTGCGGGGATACCTTCCCATCCACTGGGATGCGCTTCTCTGTAATTTTCTTTCCACCTCCTCTAGCTGCCTTCTTTAGGCTGGTGTCAGAGTCCGCGATCCGTCGCAGGTTTCGCTGATTTCGCGATTTTCGCGACGGGTCACGGAAATCACAAGTGCCCGATCAATACTGCAAGGTGTTCTCCAATCCCGCCGCCACTTCTGCTTGATAGTGATGGCTGAATGACGACTGCTCTCATGATTCCACTTGTTTGATATTATAGAATCTAGAATTATAGGATAGAGTAGGAACGAATTTAGATATGATTACTGGGAGCATTCACCATGAAGCGGAACGCCGCTATGGCAGCACCTTTAACTGCCCCTGACACCGAAGACGTCTTGAACGGTAATCTGATACAGCACATTCACATAACAGATTTACGCAAAAGCCACAACCGTGACACCGCGATTATATTCAGTGGCGGTGAGAAATCGCCATATTTGTAGCCGTCGCTACATGACAGAGCCGTAATAGCAAACTTTTAGCAGTAGAAAAAAGCACGAGAGCCTCCATGTAGAAAAATGGAAAGGGCACTGTACCACGAACAAACATCGCACGAGCATCACAATAACAGTATTCTTCATAGGCACGCTTCAGGATAAGGGCTCGCTCATTTCTATGCTGAGTCAATGAGAGACTGCACATGGAGGAGAGAGGAAACGCTAGAAAGCAGTGCAGATGAGAGAGCGCCGAAAACTAGCATATCCGGAAGAGAAAAATTGGAAGCAGTCCAGGTCCTATTGTGCATTTCAGAGTCAGGGAGCGAAAAATCCACTATCTTTGTGGATAGCTCTATCCTAACACCGAAACGACTCTTCTACATGAAGTGATTATGGTTGTGCTTTTAAATTTAGGCCATGTAATTATATCCCTGCCTATCTTCTTTGACTTCTCAGGTGGGCCATACCGCTGTCGCCGTGAGACCGCCGTCACACTCGGCGACGGACAAGCGATGGAGCGGTCGCCGAGTGTGACGGCGATCTGAGAAAGATCCTTGCTGATCCAATACTATGGCTACCGCGCAACTTCGAGTGCCCCGCGCCCACGTCGCTAAACAGCCATCGATTGGCCGATGTCAGACTTTGCGATTGGAGCGATTTTGCACCAATTGCAGGAGCGACGGATCGCTTGAGCGATGCGAGCGACGGGAGATTTACCCCGCCGAATACCGATACACACGGCGCCGCTCGGGTAAATCTCCCGTCGCTCGCATCGCTCAAGCGATCCGTCGCTCCTGCAATTGGTGCAAAATCGCTCCAATCGCAAAGTCTGACATCGGCCATATGGATAAAAAGGAGTAAAGCATTCGGCATTGATCACCTTTTTGGTATGCGGCACGCATTCTACTTCCATTCACATTCGTAGTGACAATTGAATGCGATATGACTTACCCAATGACATGCGTGGGCGGCCGATGTACGGGGGTGCGCCAAAATTACGGAGACAGCGATTTCGAGTCGCCTAGAATGAACACGCCACAATTCCAGGAAGCCAAAAATGCAGTAACGTTCACTGTTCAATAATGAATCGTAAACATCTGCCAAATCTCAGAAATTCCTTCGTTGGCACTTATACGGGCCTTGAGAAGCAGTGAGGAACCATCATCGCGGCGATAGGACGCAATTTGGTAGCTCGCTTAGATTACGTAGGGATCCGTTCAGGCTGTTGATTCTGAAGCAGATTCTTCAAAATTTGAATCCGTCAAAAATGTAAATGTTGTCGGTGCAGTCTTCAGTGCTGTGCAGAAATCAATTCGTACGAGTGATAGGAGCTTCATTTTGTATATAGAATCTGAAATGCTGACCAACTCGTTAAAAGTGATGAATTCGACAAAATTTGCTCTGACCCAGTTCAGCACCCCCTTGCCCTATGGAAATCCCTTTCTTATGAAAGATCAAACAATGTTTTTTTAATCTTAAGATGGCAATATTGGCTTGGGAATCTCTCAAAGTAATCTCCGTTAATTGTCCATACGTCTCAGTGACATTCAGGCGAACGAGATGCGGCGGATGTCATACGCATAATTCGTCTTGCGGCACCATGGCCTGACATTGCTTCGGGCCGTTCTCGGAATGACCAGCCGTCGCCTATTCCAGAATGAGGTGCATTCAGTTCCTTATGCTCTTGCGTGTTGGAGCGTTTGAGTGGATCACATGATTGCGACCCATTGGGTAAAAAAAGACAATAAGTGTGATTAGGTTCTTGCGTGCGCAAAGCAGCTCAAATGAAGATTTCCGGTGGGCGGGTTCTAGAAATAGCGGTGGCACGGAATTCATGTCATCCAATCGTTAACAGATCATACGTTGATTTGGTTCGGTGTCAGGACAGAGATGTAACTGATGAAATCAGTTTTCAACAACAACTATAACAAAAAGGGGACGCGCGGCTAATAGGTTATAACAGCAGTCTTTGAATTAGTGTGGTTTCCCAATATTGCGTCGAAAAGTGCTGGTGGCTCCGTATATTTTTTGTTGCGCACCCTGTACAATTTTAAGCATTTTTTTTAAACCTCCAAGCAAGTCTGGGCATACCAACCTTAACGCACAGCCTGGTGATGGGTGGAAATCGTTCCGTTGTGACCCGGAGAAGCGCACGGCGGCTCAGGCATTTTCGTATCCGCATACCTGCTATGCGGTTGTGTGAGTCAGGCCTATGGCGTTGACGACGAAGCCCCTGATTCTCCGTTCTAGTGTTACCAATCATGTGATATCTGAAGCAGATGCTTGTACCAAATCTCGAGGGTGTTGAGCCATATGAAAGTTCTCCTCTATGTTGCGCTTTCTCTATAACGGCCTCTCTCCCCCCGCTCCCGATACCTTATATATTTGTTTGGACGTGTTCTTGCCTGCATCCGAGCGCACGCAAGGTATCGAACGACAATTTCAGAGTTGATAACGTATGTTTGTACTTGACGCTGATAAAAGCTTAATCTGCGCGTCTGATAGTGGAGTTTAAGTGAAAGGTATAGGCGATTTATATCTTCTAAAATGGGAGAAGAGAACTGCTATCGTTAGCGGTATAAAGGAAAAAACGAAGCCATTGCGGAATCGCCGAAAACGTCGTGGGAGGCCAACGAGCTCACTATTACTGGCGAGAGATTCAACACAATGATTCGTCCGCAGTCTTGGTCGGGGAGTGGAGTTAGTATCCATAAAAAAGCTTGGATCACTATTTACAAGAAAGAAAGCTACTGCTCGAAAGAGGACCGGATTAGGAGACTGAAAGTTCTTTGGAGTTGACATCAATTGAAATATCGCATACATGAGAGTCGACGAAAAAACAATGTGCACCGCAATCGCGTATTGTCACTAGTGTATAAAATTGGAAATGGAGCACTTAAATGACCACCTTGCACATTCACTTTGCCTGCAGGTCCGACTTTTTGAAGCTCAATTTCATGATCTAAAGGCTTCGAGGAACATGGTAAGCGTTTCTATTCGGAGATGGATGAGCTCAGTTTTGATCAGGTACCGTTCATATTCAGTTTGAGCATACGTCAAATTAGTTTAGAAGCTTTTATTAGCTTTTTGACAAAATTCTCGGCGTAGTCGTAAACTACGTGGTCATTTCGCCAACGCCTTCAAACGTTTCGGAAGCTCGTTAAAACATGTGCGTTCTAGTCTTGGAGTGGTCAAAGCTCACAAAATCGTGGTTCATGTCTCCTCCAATCGCGCTTAAATGTGGAAATTTTGGGATGGTTTACACTAATTTACAATAATACATCTACTTACATGCATGCTGTGCCATTTCATTAGGTTTCCTATTTGTTGTGCTGCTTTTTTCTGTTTGATAAAGCGGTTGAGCCAGGAATGGGTGCGAGGGAAGGAGCTGCGGGGTTGTGAACCATCTTCTCATTCCTCTAATTAAGACAAGCCTTGGTCAAGGGGGAAGTTCGAAGGAATTAGAAAACAGGTACGTACTCCTGTGTTTCTCCCCCACTTTGAAGCTTATTTCTGAGTTATCTGAAGTGATTTTTTCAAAAGAAATCCTGGCACTAAGGTCCTTAGGGGAGACATTCAGAGCAGGGCATTTAAAAACCGCTGGTGGGTGGGACGAGGACCAAACCCAGGAGAGGGAAGAGCGCCAGGAAACAAGTTGCTAAACGTCTTTTCTCCACGATTCCTTCCCCTTTTCAAGCTTGGTGGCAAATTTTCTGCGAGTGCTCATCACACTTCAATGTTCCCACTAACTGTACATGCCGCGAAATCCTTATGCTAAGAATGGTTATTCGTTGAGCTGTTCCCTACCACTGCACGCTAGCTTTGATTCTGTTTATTCTCAGATACTGTGAATTTGTATGAAGCCAAGCTTGTCGCCCGTGTGTCCATATTTGAGGGCGGGCTAAGGATAGCGTCAACACAGTTTAATTCGTTTCTCGCTGATCGCGTAAACTGGGGCAGCTAGATGCCCTAATTACAATCGGCCGCGTCTTCTAACGTCGGAGTCAGCGAAGGAGATCCGGAAATGAATCTTAAAGAATGCAATTGAATAACGGGTTTAAGACAAAATAACTCCATTTTTTCTATTTATGGTATGGGAACAGTGGGCGGTAAGCGCGCCTTGCGTCAGTGGGATTAGTGCTTCAAAGGTGTATCACGATTGAGACAACCCAGACCCTATAAAAATTGGCGAGCCAAACAAATTTGGTCAATTTGACCAAAATCGTGAAAAAGAAGTAATGAGGGAAAAAGATAAAGGATAAAGCATTTGCCGTTGATCAATCCCTTTTTGGGATGCGGCACGCATTCTACTTCCATTTGTACATTCGCAGTGGCGTTTGAATGCGATGTGGCCTATACAATGACTTGCGGGGGCCAGCCGATGTACAAGTCAGTGTTTTTATCCTCCCAGACAAGTTGTCTTAACTTCGTACCCCGGACAACCAGAGTGAGGGTCGGTCTGCGCGGCGAGCGCCTAACCTCAGGATTCGGTCCTGCACCGCACGCGTGATATGCCTGCCACTGCCACCACACGCTGCCACCCTCAGATTCTGCATTAGCAAAAAAATACAACTTTGAGTTGTCAAAGTTTGAATAGCAACGACTACTGGGTACTTATGAAGTGAGAAGGCACGTGGTATGGCAGCTCTGCTGCCTACAAAATTTCAATTTTTTGTAGAAGAAAAAATCTTTTTGATGCGTGATTCTTTTAATGTCCGCTCTAAAACTATCGTGGAGCCCTTGCGAAAAGTCGGATCTTTAATTTGGCTGTCGCATGACTTTGGACGTAAAACTTGGCATGCCCCACATGCACCTCCATTACACGCCATGGACTACGCACTTCAACTAGACTAACAGTCAAGAGTTTTCTGGCTGCTTTGTGTGGCTGTGCTTTCTGATGGGCGCTGTTCTTCGTAACACCACGCAGTGAGCATAGATTTTTATTAGCAAAAGCAAGCTTTGAACGGTTTTTAAGGTTCGAGTCCGATTTGCACCAAGCCCAACTGGCCATCTTCACCTTGGAGGCTTGAGAACGGCATTGTACAACTTTTTGTTCGCTAAACACCACAAAGGATGTTTTATCCTCCGTATAGAAGACACTGATAGGGCGCGATTAGTTCCTGGCAGTGTCGGCAGCGTAAGTTTGGAGCTACAGGTATTTGCATTATTGAAAGACAACAAAAGCTTCATCATTTCGTTGTAGATTGAACGAATTCTTGAACACTATGTTTTACACTATGATGAAGGACCACGAAAGAGCGGGCCGTATGGACCTTATCAGCAGTCCGAAAGACTTGTGTTATATAAGAATGCTGTGGATCAGCTTATTGAGTCAGGGCATGCCTATCGTGTGTTTTTGTTCCGAAGACGTGAGTTCCACTCAGCTGTGTTCTTCTCTAGTCATTTTTGAAGCTAGTGTTTTAGCGGTTTTCGGCGTTGCTTCGCAAGGACGCAGTGAGGCGAAATGAATGAAGTGCCCAAATATGACAAGGAAATTCGGTTCGGCTCGTATGATGTAATGAAAGTCCTGTTCACTGGTGACCGATGCTCGGAAACCAATTTGATTGTTCGCTAACTAAGAACAGCTGGACAACAAAACGTTTCATTTGTGGTTGGTCTGATTATAAATACTTGTGTTTCGATTTGAAATGGTCATGAGAGGCAAGTTTTTCTAGTTGTTAATTCTTTTAGCTGTGGGGATGTGGGCCACTAGGACAAAAACGACTTTTGTTTTTGTCCAAAGCTTGATCGCTACGCGTGTCAAATAATAAGTTCATGACGTCTATGTCTGAATTTATGTAGCGGTATGTCAAAGCAAAACGCGCTTAGGCTATAAATATCTGTTACACATAGCAACAGGTAAGGAATAGGTAAGGAATGTCATAAAAGGGGTGGGTATGGTCAGGGTTGGAACATCATCACTGCCGAGCTCCGGCTAGACAGCTCCAGCTCGGCGATACCGTTATCCAGGCCACGCCCCGTCATCATGGCGTGCGAACCACATAGGAACTCCCTAGGTTCACCAATGTCAACTTTACCGTTGTTCTTTCCTCCAGTGCGTGGAGTGTTTTCGCAGTCGATTCTATCCTTAGTTGGGAGAGACAGGGTTCTGCGGTCATAAGGGCGCCATTAGGCTTGACGGTTTTCTACCTTCCAAACAGAGCAGCGCGACCTTTAAGAGAAGAGTTCTTTAGCAGAGGAGGATAGCTACAATATCAACCGTTCAATGGCGGATCCTATGCCCAACCCTGTCTCTCCAACCTCAGAATTGCACCGGCGACGGGGACACTTCCTTTGAGGGAAGGATATACGTCAGAGTGATGGAGCCTGTTACCGAAAGTTAGCCGAAAAGCGAACAAGTAAGCCTTCATAACTAACGACGTACGTAATAGATGATAAGTACCAGGGACTAAGTTCGTACGTAGACGAACCTGAGCCGCCGCGCTTGCCGCGTGCCCCTTCCAACCTGCTTAGCGGCGAAATACTGCACCGTCTATTTATAAGAGAAGGAGACTTCCAGAACCACGCCTGACAATGCTTTACTCAATCAAGCTTGTTCATGTTTGTCATGTCTTTCCGTTATATTGATGTCATAGCTATTAAAAGGAGGTACTGACATAAGCATGATATTTAGGACGAAATATTTGGTTCAGTGGACCAGTGCATCGACGAGAGTGACATGGTGTTGCTTAAAAGTGACGGGTTTCCCACGTATCATCTCGCTAACATAGTGGATGACCGGGCTATGCACATCTCCCACGTCATTCGTGGTATGGAGTGGTTAAGCAGTACGGGTAAACAATGTGCTTCTGTTAAGAAGTAAAATAGTAAGTCTTTACAAAGTGATGACTAAATGCGCAAGAAGATTGCCTAGTACGAAATTAGACAGGGCATTTGGATGGCCAACACCGAAATGGCTTCACCTCCCTCTCATAACTCGAGATGGCAAGAAGAAACTCTCTAAAAGGGATAAGGATGCATTCGTTGACTTTTATGAGCAAAGAGCTCGGTGCACTCCCGAAAGCCGTTTTGAATTTACTGGTATGTGGAGAAATCATCCCCCGCTACTGTGTAAATGGGCTTGAATTTCCTACGCTTTCACTTATGGCATGATTAACGAAACGGCAGTGGTATTCGTGACTTCAGCAGCTCTCACCTCTATAGTCTTGATGAGATGATTGCAAATTTTGACGAACGCTGCATCGGAAAACGTAACTTGCAGGTGATTATACGAAAATAGATCCGCGTTTCATGAGAAACCTATTTCCATTTTTTTTCAGCTCGATCATATGAGACTTTGGAAAGGTATGGCCGTATGGCTTTACTGAGTCAGATTTTGAGACCGAATTATTGCCGACAGTACGCCGGCTGCTATTGAGCATGACTTGCCATCCATACAAGTCCCAGATGATGTTTATCTTAAGAAGGTGAGGCTAAGCACAACTTCTTTACACAGAAGGAAAAGATTCGTAGTTCAGGTATTGAGTTTCCTGAAAGCCAATGAAGAAAGCTTTGCGTTTTTGTCATCATTAACAAAAGGCGATTTCCGATGGTTTCTAACCAAGCCCATGGCAGCTGAACGTCTTTTGTCGGTGACAGACCGAGAAACGGCTCTGGAGACTCTAACGTATTTGCAAGAATGCGGTAAGTCTAATAAATTGATCTAAGTTAGTGAAGAGCTAAATTGCTTCACCACGCTGTGAGGTTTGAAATAGTGCATGGCGCTAATTGCCGTGAACGAAAGCAACGCAATCAAGGGATGATGAGGGCGCTCGCTGCGTCTACATCGTTCATGTTTGGTTTTGCTCGGTGTTTGTTGGTCATTCATAGCTGAATTCCATGAATTGCGACTTCCACAGTCGGGTACCTGATCCTGGGTCTCTAACACTCGATTCCGTATTCCGTACACTCCGTAGAACTCACGATGCCAGCCGCTATGAACACTACCTGATGGTTAAGGTGAACACGAGGTTGGCAGTTGCACCCTGGCAACTCTTTTTCCTCAGGGTATATTTCAGGATCATGCAAACCAGTCCTAAGACGGTTTCTGCTCATGGACCCTTTTCCATTCGCTGCCGAAGTCAAAAATTGGAGCCAAGAGGAAGTACAAAAAAAATTGATTAGGTCTTCGGTGTTGCGGTTAGAGCATGTTCGTTTCTCTTGAACAGCAGAAGAGAGGCGAAACGAACACATGCTTCTGTCAAGTAAAGGGAGAGGGTGTAGATGGGAGGGATACGCTTTATGTAGTGCTAAGACAGCCTTTCAAGGGAAATAAAGAGAGCAGAGGTGCCGTAACAGTGGATTCATGTGAGAGCTCCCAGGCAGCACTACAAAACGCTGATTCGCCTAACTCACGGTTGACAGAACTTCGAAAACCAGGCGAAACCCACTCTTTTCTGCAAATCTTCCAAAGCCGATATTTTACAAATATGCAGACCTATTTTAAATTTGTGCGATTTTAGCCTTATTGTTCAAACCAGTTTGGCGCGCACGCATTCGCGTGCATCACACAGAACTGCGCTGGTATAGAACAGGGCCACCAATATTGTTGTACTTCTTCCTGACAAACTGCACACTTCGGCACATACCCTAACCGACACTGCTCTTGAACTCCTTTCCTTCGACAACATCTTCCTTTTTGTCAGTATAGTGAATAAGCTCCAACCAAGATTGATAACTAAACTGACATATTCTCTACGACTCATGCCAAGATTCATTGAGAGTCGCACATGGAAACATCTTCCTTTTTTTTGCTCGGTTTCCGGGGCTTTTTTGGGGCCGAATTATAATCCTTCGTGGCAGACTTTGCCCACCTTAGTACACTCTCCATCCACCAATAGCACTGAACTCTCCCTCTTCATCAACCTCTATCAACTTTTTCTCGGCTTCCAGAACCTTTTTGAGTTGAAGCGTGAAGTTTCGTGGCAAACTTTGCCCACTTCGATTCATGTCCCGCTCACTAACAGCAGTTGACCTCCTTTCCTTCGCCAACCTCTACCCTTTTTCCCGGCCTCCGGGACTTCTTGGACCGAGTTATGATGTTTCATTGCTGTTCTCCGTCCATTTCAGTGCGCGCTCCACCCACCGATAACAAGTAAGCTCCCTTCCTTCACCAGCACCTATCCTCGTTTCTCTGGTCTTCGGGAATTTTTGGAACCGAGTTATGAGGATATGTAATAAACATCGTATATTTCCGCATTTTCAGAACAGGCATTTTGATTTTCTAGGCGTTCAGCCACACTGCGTAACTTTTAACGTTTTAAGAGTCGCTTGATGTCGATGCACTAAAGATGGTAGCAGAACAGCACGGATGGGAATACACAAAGCTTCTCGCTGTCATCCGTGTCACCTTAATCGACAATACGAAAGGACCGCCTATAAAAGAGTTGGTGTCTTTCTTCGGAATAGAGGAGTGTCACAAACGATTCAGTGACATGATCAGCTTTCTCCATTCCTCTAAAGAAGCAGTCTTAGCAGCGAATAAATAGTTTTGCAAACATTTGAAGAAGAAGCTATGATATTTCCAATCTAGGATCCTTTTATTGATTCTTGGAAGAAAAAAAAACGAAATATTCTGTCGTCGAAGTCCGTGAGTTCCTAAACTTAGCGTTAGCATTCACTACTTTAGCAGAGATCTCTTGCGACTTATTGGAAAGTTTTATTATTATACAACACAACAATTTAGTAGAGGCTTTATATTTATGCATTAACAAAATCAATTTGAACAAGCAAGCTTTGTTATCACAGCAATATAGTTCCCCTGTTCCTTCTCAATGCTGTCTATTCGACACCCGTCCACAGAATTCAGAAGCTGTTCCATTTCTCCTTCAGCGAAAACGTGATAATACCTGAACCGGAGTTCAGTAGATTGGTACTACGTTTTACTGTTCTATTTTCTCAAAATTCATGCTTGATTTTTATCGAAATCTGTCTTTGGCAACGTGATTACTAGCGACCTTCGTTATCCAAAATGTTTTGGCGTCAGCGCCAGCGCCGAGCGTTTTCTCGCTGAACCAATTCTTTTTTTTCAATAAGGACGTAGAAAAAACCTAGGTACCTAGCATACTCTAATAGAGATTTCAACCCCAAGTGCGCTGCTGAATAGTGTCAAAATCTTCACACTGGATGCAAATAAACTTGTCCTCGTGACATCAACTTTGATGACTTGGATATAGCATACCTCAGAAATGTTTCTCCTGTACCATCTATCCTCCAGGGAACAAGCATATCCTGCTGGATGAATTCCTTCCCATCATGAATCAACAACCTATCCGAATGACGCGTATCAATGCTAGAGTCCTATAATGCAAAACGAATAAGGTTTTGTTATGTTTCTGAAGGTTACTGAGCAAGACTTCACAATTGATTAGAACGTTTTTGCCAGTATGCTCCACCTATAATGCGACCGGACTTCTACCTTGGTTATGAGATCAAATATTAACGATAACTTGTCAAAAAAGTGATATTTTATATATAGAAATATGAGAGCAATATAAATGTGATACAGAAGAGGAAAACTAATTTAACGCGAAAAAATGGGAACACATGAAGGTGACCGAAAATAACTCTGAGCAATAGCGCCCAGATAAATCGACCCAAGTTTTGAACAGGAACTTGGGCGCACGTGATACCATCATCAGACAAAAAGAAAAAAAAAACGAAAAAAGAGTATTTTCTATAGGTTGCAGATCCAAATTGTTGGTCAAAGAACGATTTTGCAACCAACCTTCCTATCCCCTTCAAAACTTATAAAGCCTCTTGAATGGTATTGAAAGTAACCTTGTTCTCCCTCATTTTCGAGTACTCGGAATTGCTCTGGTCCATTGACCAGACCGTTATGCACGCCTTGCCTCCCACTTTCAACACCTGAAAGAACAAGAGGTTACTCAGTGGGATGACCCTACCAAGTAAACTAGGAAAAAATATTATGAACTATATGTATTGATGTGACTTATGTAATACATGAAAGCAACAATATGCTGATGACTCGCCCTGAGAATCTCTCTGATTAGTTTCTGACGTCGAGATAGTAACGCCATATGGTGCAGAACTGCTATAGACAGAACTGCGTCCGCTCCTTCGCGGAAAGGAAGACATAAGCCATCTGCGCGAACTACCATGCATCCCTGAAAGGCAAATTTCGAAGAGCAAAACTTTTTATGAATACTAAGAGGAATCTTAATTCACACGTGTTCACTTCGACTAAAAATCGCATCACCAGGTAAGTTGGGAGGAATTGTTTCCGGTATGTACACTGATATTTTCAACTTTGCGTTTAAAAATCAATATCTTGTAGGATGGAGAAAAGCTCTTCCTTTTGTTCATACTTTATTGACGAATGTTTTACGAATGTTCTGGTTGGTTCTAACTCCATTTTGCGCGAATTTTGGCACGTCAACTCGAAATGCAAAAATTTGTTACCACGAGGAATCGAACTAGGGACCTCCTTTTCTGGTATTCAGAGGGCCGTTCAGGAAAAATTGAACATGGTTCTGTGGTTCCCGCATCTGCCCCTATATCATGCAAAAGACCGTTTTCAAAAAGCTTGTCACGCCCTGAAAGACCTTCCTGGTTAAGCTTAATTCACACGTGTTCACTTCGACTAAAAATCGCATGACGCAGGATTGTTTCCGTAATGTACACAGAATCAAAAAAAAGACAACCACTCTCCAAACAAACTTCTCAACTTTACTGCTATTTTCAACTTTGCTTTAAAAATCAATATCTTGTAGCGATAGATGGAGAAAAGAAGTTTTTCCCTTTGTTC